CTTCAATAGCCATTCATGTTTTCAATTTCCATGCCTTCCTGTGTGGACCTCTAAGTCCACATGCATGTGTTCCAAGCCTTTTTAGCTTTCTGCCATCTTCTCCTATGTTCTGTACCAGTCATCTCATTTTCTCTGGCTTACATGGACATCCAGAGCACCTCTGCATCCAACATGTACCTGGTTCTGTTATCGCTCATCACCTTCCTCTTCCATTTTCCTAGTCTTTAGCTTTCGCTAATTTGAGTTGGTGTTTCATATGATTACAGACATCATTGCTGCTGCTTGTCTGCCTTTTTATTTCTTGGCAAAAGATGAATGTTCATTCTGAACCTTTTTTATTTTTTCAATCTTCACCTGAGAATATGTTTATTGCTTTTAGAGAGAGAGAGAAAGGAGAAACAGAGAGGGAGAGAAACATCGACCCATATGCTCCCCAACCGGGCATTGAACCTGCAACCTTTTGGTGAATGGGACGATGCTCCAACCAACTGAGCAGTCCAGGCAGGGTCATTCTAAACCTTGTTGAAAGTTAGAATGACTCAGGGAAAAAGTCTGCCGTGTGACTCCTCTCTCCTCCCCTCCCCACAGCCCTCACTTTGTGTCATGAAACCTCCGGGTTTGCAGGTGCATCTCCTTCTCCACTAGCGGCCTCCAGGGCCCGGCCATTTCTGCAGCTGTAACGGATGGAGGTTGTCAGTAAAAAATAAAGAAATAAATGGAATAAAAATAAGGAAGTTATTGCCTGGCAGCTCCTCTGTTCCTTTGCCTGCGATATAAATAGTTCTTGCCAAGTGGAAACAAAAACATTGTCACCCAAGGATGAATTCTGATCTTCCTCCGCTGATAAAACTTTTCAGAATTATTAAGTAGGATGCGTGCAGGGCGGAGAAAGCAACCTTGGAAAACAGAGTTCAAATCAATAATAATTAACATTTCCCAGCCTCTCTTTTCATGCTAATGACTGGAGACAAGTACTAATTAGAGAAGCCTCAAGTGTCTGGGTTTTTTAGATGGACCAGATGGTGTCACATAAGAACTATGCATAGCACCAAGGAGAAGTCTGGGTGGCTCCTAGCTCCATTGCTTCCAACTTGACCTTGTCGGAGGACACCTGCGCTCGCCCATTGCTTTGCGCTGGGGCCTCTTCTTTGTTCCTTCTTCTCTGTCTCACCCACTTGTGACTTCAGATGTGGGTCTCTGCCATCGTTCGTGAGCGCTCTTATACACATTTATTATTACTTTTCCCTAACAAGTGCATTCATTTTTTTCAGTTCCCTTTAACTCTTATGTTATTGCCTGATCTCACTAGACTCCCCCCAATACACACACACACACACACACACACACACACACACACTCTTTCTTACTGATCTTTCTTGGGATCACACAAAACCAGCCCAGAGGCCTCAGCCCCTTCCGTGGGTAGCATTGAGATGGTCCTGCCTCTTCAGTTTTTTCAAAACTCTTTTCACAGGTTGTCTGAAAACATGTTTTCTCCTGTTGGTTTGTACTTCACATTTTTCCCCTTCCTTTGCTGTGGAAGTCAACCAACCAACTCGGAGAAAGCATTGATTTCTGTAGAGATGTTTTCCACACTGTTGAGTGTGGATGAAGTTTGAATAGAAATCATCTAACCCAGAGAGCAGAGGTGGGCCCGATGGAGTGGTTCCTGAGGCACACCTTCATCTGAGCTGTTTTACCGGTGTCTTCCTCTCGATTGCTGGGAAAGTCATGATGCATTTACTCTCAGTGAAGACACATTGTCTTAATTTGGGGTGTGTGTGTGTGTGTGTGTGTGTGTGTGTGTGTGTGTGTGTGAACCATTCTTTGGTGAATTGGAAGAGAACAGTGATTGGTTGCTATCAGCATTTATGGCTTAAGTGAGAAGTACTATTTTCTGCCCCTTTCCCCTGTATTTATTGCCCTTGCTGAAGCATAAAGTCAGGGAGACCAGTGAGGGAGCTGCAGCAATAATGCAAGCAGGAGACAGAAGGCCCTGAGCTTTGGGAAGAGTGTTAGACATGGGGAATAATTCACATTATTTTAAAAAATGGAAGCAAAAAGGTTTTCTTAATATATTTCATAACCTTGTAAGTGCCTCAGAATTTAGAAACCACTGCTTTTCTTAGTGTTACTATTTTCTTTTTCACATGTGCTAGTTGGTACCTATTTAACTAATTAAAGAATATATCACATTTCTCACTTATGTACTTTCTTGTTTTGGAAAATTACTTACTTGATGTCTATTGCATCTTAAAAAAACCCCACACAAAACGGAACATTGTAGGTTTTCCTTCATTATAAAAGTAGAAGGGAAATAAAAATAACTTGTCCTATCACCCGGAGATGATAATTATTAGTATTTCAGTGTATTCCCTTTCAGTTTTGGGTAGGTATAGAAATAACTTACATATAGGACCAACGAGCCAATATTGAATTATGAGCTGTCATTAACTATTCATTATGTGGATGCACCAGATATTGTTTACATCTGTCCTGTCATTAACCATTTAGGTTGTTTCCAACTCCTTCATAATTTAGCAAATGCTGTGGTAAATATCTTCACCAATAGGAAGTCTTCATGTTTATCCCCAGGATAATGGATTCATGTATCCATGAATTTTTAAAGTCAGGGTTGAATGGAATAAGTGTGAAGGTGGGCAGGAGCCCTAATGGCTGAGAGTCCCGTGGGTGAGGAGGTGGCAGGTGCTCAGTGCCCTAGCTGCTCCACCTCCACCACCTGGTCACCAGCTAGGGAGGAAATGCCGGAGCGTGGAGAGGTTCAGAGCACAGAGATGGGGGTCCCCTTGCCTCCCCCTGACTCATTCTCAGGTGGAAGTCGGTGCACATCTGTATCCACTATTTCAGTTTAGATCCCCACATGTTTCCTAACTCTTCCTGGGGTTTTTTGTATGATTTGGGTCAAGATCCGTGTGTTTATCAAAGAAGATAGCTTGTGTCTCCCATGTCCTGTTCCGTCCCAGCTGCTGGGCAGCAGGTGCACTGGCACTAAAAAGCCTCTTGTGATCCCTGGTGCTTTCCTTGTCCGCGGAGTGTGAGCAGGAGGAGGGCTACTTCACCTCAGAAACTGGTGGAGAGTTCAGTTACTAGTTAAGGAGACTCATTTCATAGAACTCTCTGTATACAAGTCAGTTCCTTTAAGAAAATAGCTGTTTGCCTTGGGTATGGTATCTACTAAGACAATGGTCGGCAAACTCATTAGTCAACAGAGACAAATAGCAACAGTACAACGATTGAAATTTCTTTTGAGAGCAAATTTTTTAAGACTTAAACTTCTTCTCATGCCACTTCTTTAAAATAGACTTGCCAAGGCCATGGTATTTTGTGGAAGAGCCACACTCAGGGGGCCAGAGAGCCGCATGTGGCTCATGAGCCACAGTTTGCCTACCATGGTACTAAGCCTACCACGGTACTAAAATAAGCACTTGGAGTCTTCAAGGTAATATTTATTCTTGGCACCAGGAAGATAATTCTTTGACCAGAACAACATTGACCATAGTTTTTGTTTCTTCCTTCCTTCCTTCCTTCCTTCCTTCCTTCCTTCCTTCCTTCCTTCCTTCCTTTCTTTCTTTCTTTCTTTTTTTTTTTTTTTAATATGTTTTTATTGATTTTTAGAGAGAGGGAAGGGTATGGAGAGAGAGATAGAAACATCAATGATGAGAGAGAATCACTGATCAGATGCCTCCTGCACACCCCCTACTGGGGATCAAGCTTATAACGCAGGTATGTGCCCTGACCAGGAATCGAACCTTGACCTCTTGGTTCAGGGTCAAGGCTCAACCACAGAGCCACACTGGGCGACCATAGTTTTTCTTAATCCTTGTTATTCTCATATTTTATGTTGATATACAAATAAACATTTTTTCCTTTTTTAAAAAATTCTAAAATAGCTGGTTTTCTTGGGTCACTTCTTATTTTCATAAAATGTCCTTTTACCCTGTGAATGACTTTAAGTATAATTACATTGGGTATTTCTAGTTTTTAGTTAATATTTGTTTTTTGAAATTTTCATATTGAAATCAATAGTCTGTCTGTAAGTAAAATGATTTCTGTTGTTGCATGTTGATCACGATCCTAGGAAGCTAACAGGAATAATTAAAATGTGTTACAAATAGCATTTGTATCTGCATTTAGAAAGCTCTCCAATGGGTGAGCAGATGTTGATACAGATTCTTGCCTTTGATATGATAAATTTCCCATTACGTTTGGAAATCTGGTCTTGAGGGAGATGCTTTCAAGTGTGCACAGTTGAGCTGCAGTGTGTGAGCGTGCAAGCGGCTGCACTGACAAACCATTTGACAGATTTGCAACTGAGTCTGTTTTAGGTTCAGACCAAGTTCTGGAGCTTTATGTTCTGTATTTTATGCTCAGACATGCATTTGAATTCTTTCTTTGTATTTTCAGAAGGTCTGATAATAAATTACACACACACACACACACACACACACACACACACATTCTCTTTTATTATTTTTATATATTTAAAAATACATTTTTATTGATTTTAGAGAAGAAGTGAGAGGGAGAAAGAGGTAGAAACCTCAATGATGAGAGGAATCATTGATCAGCTTCCTCCTGCAGGCCCCCAACTGGGGATGGAGCCTGCAACCTGGCATGTGCCCTGACTAGGAATCAAACTTCCTAGATTATAGTTCAATGTTCAATGCTCAACCACTGAGCAACATGGGCTAGGCTACACACATATTCTCTTTTAGATATAGGGTGCACAAAAGTAGATTTGCAATTGTTTGTATGGAAAACAATGCAATAATGAATAAATAATAAAACAAGAACAAACTGTTTTGCATACTCACAACTGTAAACCTATTTTTGCCCATCCACCTGTGTGTGTGTTATTACATTGTGTATGAACCTAAGTTGGAAGCAAAAATGCATATACTTCATTTGTTTTTTTTAATAAAAAGGTTTCATTTTAAGCTTTCACTATTGAATTAAAATTTCTTTCTCTCTTTGTATAGGTTGAAGAAATTGTAGATGTTGGATCCTTCGCCCCAGAAGACATCCATATTCCTAAGATTTATGTCCATCGCCTTATAAAGGGAGAAAAATATGAGAAGAGAATTGAGGTAGTTGACTTAGCTTCATCGTCAATATTTCAGAGACATGTGTCCCTGGGTTCATTCCAGATAAGAGGGAATTAAAGCCTCGCAGAAGCCTCGCTTTGGATCTTAGTATGAGCTTCTCATGTATCCATCGTGAAGGGATATGGTCACCTGTGCTGTTGTCCAGCATAGCAGTGCCTGGTGACCCTGGTTTCCAGGCTTCTGGAGTGTTCTGACTTAAGATGCATACCTTTCCACCTCCCCTGTCCCTGGGGTAGAGAAGGATAATCAGGTCTCCAAGGCTGTCCCCCTGCTGGACTGTCCATGTTTGATCACGCAGCAATGTCTGTCTATCTTAAGGTTGCTTTACGGTTTGCAGCGTCTGGCAAGAATGCCACTGCCCATTATTGTTAGGTATCAGGTTCTAGGCAGCTGGTGGGTAGGAGATTGTGGCAAGGCGTGGCTTATAGGAGCATTGGAGGTATTTCACGTATACTCAGAGCTAGAAGAGTGACCATCTGGACCAGAATGGATACCAAGATTCGTAAGTGTCAAGAAATCAGCCACAGAATAGACATGTATTGGGGGTATCAGGGAATCAGAAATAGGCTGTATCCTTTGAACAACAACAACAACAACAAAAAGTCATTCTGCGATTCACAGCTGGTGTCAGCCAGCTAGGGAGAAGTGATGGAGCGTTTGAAAATAGGAACCAGAGTCTGTATTAGGAGATTCAGCCTTGGAAATACTTTCCTGGCTGCTTGCTGGATACGTCTGTGAGCCCTGTGATGTGCTGGAAGCAAAACCAGTCCAGGCTCTGCAGGTGGAAATAGGCTGTTGAGTGCAGCAACACCTGGTAAACACACTCTGGCAGCTCTGCAAAAGCAGAGGCCAAATCTGTTCCTCTTCCCTTCGTTCCGCCTCAGCCCCTGAGCACTGGAGGAGAAAGCAGTTGCCGGAGTCTTGGGAGGTGGCGGTAGGAGCAGTCAGCGTGACAGTAGTAGAGGGATTAATTGCTTCAAAGAGACAGAGCAAGTATATCTTGCCTTTCAAAGAAATCTGACCTCTTTCCCTCATTTTCTAAAGAATTGTTTGTGCTCTAGTGGTTGGAGTGTTGTCCTGTGCACCAAAAGGTTGTGGGTTCGATTTCGGGTCAGGGTTGGTTTGGTCCTTGCCGGGGTGCATAAGGGAGGCAGCCAATTGATGTTTCTCTCTCATATCAAAGTTTCTCTTGTTCTCTCTCTCCCTTCCTTTCTCTAAAAAAAAAATAAATCAATAACCATGTCCATGGTGAGGATTAAAAAAATGATTTCTGGGTATTCTCTTTTTAACACTGTTATATTGTAGATTTGCCTCATAATAGTAGTAGGAGAGAGTTTAAATTTTTTTTTTTTTTAAGTAAACTTCTGTGCTTTTCCATGATAAAAATCCAAGGTGTACTTCAATGACGAATAATTTTTTTTCTGTTTATCTTAAAGCGTTTATCAACCCGGAAACCGGAAGATGTAAAAGCCAAATCCGGGAAAGCTGGAGATAATGTGAGGGAGCGCATCATCAAGCGGGCAGCTCTTGAATTTGAGGATGGCATGTATGGTATCCTTTATCTTTGTGGGGGCAAAGACGAGGCCCTTGCTTTTCCCATATTCCCAGGCTACCAGGCCTGCTGCATGGCGATTCTTTTATAAGTCTTTGTAACTTTTAATGCAGCTGATCAGTTTTTACAAAATGTGGCACATAATCTACAGATATCAAACTATATGAAGTTGGCCTGCCCAAATCTGAGTTGACTAAAGTGTCGTCCTGATATGCCAAGGTTGCGGGTTTGATCCCCAGTCAGGGCACACACAAGAAGCAACCAATGAATGCATACAGTGGAATAACAAATTGATGTCTCTCTCTCTCTCTCTCCCCCCCCTCTTTTTCTCTCTCTCAAATCAATAAATAAAAATTATAAAAAAAGAAAGGATATATGAAATTGGAATTATAGTCCATTTGCCTTCTTGAACAAAACGGTGACCAAAATTTTATTTAGCTATGTTCTCATATATTATAGACTTCAGTGCAATTTGGCATTTGGCTAAATGTTATTGGGATTGGAGCTTACCCAAGATGAGGGTTTTAAACCTCAGAAGTACTAGTTATAGCCAGTGCTATTTACTTTCTCTATATTTTGGTATTTACATATTCATTGAAACATAACATCCAACTTTTTTTTAAAAGTCCAATCTCCTATCACCATATATTTGACCCTGTCAAACTTTACCACCCTCCTTCTTCTTCCCCTCCGGTAACCACAATACTGTTGTCTGTGTCTATGAGTTTTTGTCTGCATATCGCTGATCTGTTCACACTGCTTGTACTGAGAGGCAAGACTGAACCCACACCATCTGGGTACATATTAGGATTTACCCTATTTTGATGTCTAAGGAAGAAGATCCAACACACGCAGTTACTCTTTGATGCCTTAACCCAGCTACTGTTTATATGGTCTCAATTGTTTTCACTGAAGCTTACGCTCCAGTCCCCCCTCCCTCCCTTCCCCTTTGGGTTTTAGGGAAGACTCAGTCACCAGTGGATGTTATCTCAGTGATCCAAAGGAGATGAAAAATTTCATGCAGACATTTTGGTAATGTCAGAACATTTTTAAAATTTAGAAATGGTAGCCCTTTTTAAGAATGTTAAATCATCTTTGTTTTTAGTTGGAGTTTTATGAAGTCAAAATTGTTTTTTAAACAAAGGTCAAGCCATGTTTAATAATATATCAGTCACAAGTCATAATACAGCAGTCCACATTTGCTGAGCGTGTTAATGCAAACAGAATGTCTTACAGTGAAAATGACCTCTTGGCTAGTCTTCTGAAGCCACCGCTTTGATATATTATTGATGGGAAAGCACATCAGTGTTGTTGAAAAAGCTGTGATTAATTAGTGACTTTATTTATTTTTTTAATTATAAAAGTGCCTAGAGGGTGACTGGAGAATGTGTTCAGTAATTACATTCAGAGCAAGTGTCTTTAAAGAAGGCTTCTCTTCGGGTTGGTGTGTGTGGAAGGTTTATGGCGTAAATGTCTCTACCTTTTCCACGTTCTACCTTAACATCTTCTTTTCCAGCCAATTTGGGCATAGGAATCCCACTTCTGGCCAGCAACTTTATCAGCCCAAATATGACTATCCATCTGCAGAGTGAAAATGGAATCTTGGGTTTGGTAAGGTAGAAATTAAAGTTTTATTTATGCAGTCTTTTTTTCCCCCCTGCTCATCTTTAAAAAAAAAAAAAATCTTTATTTGTGAAAGTATTACATATGTCCCCTTCTCCATTCCCCCACATGGACCTCCTCTAGCCTACCCCAATCCCCCACCCCTCCTCCCCCCACCCCCAGCCTTCATCATTGTCTGTGTCCATGGGCTATGGATATATGCTACAAGTTTTTTGATTGATCTCTTCCTACTCACTCACCCACCCCTGCCATCCCTTTGAGATTCCGCAGTATGTTCCATGCTTCTATGTATTTATGCAGTCTTGATGAAGAACTAGCTATTCCATGTAGTGAAATCTTCTAATAACTGAACTATTAGCTTAAAGTTCCCAGACTTTTCTATTTGCTTCTCATCACAATAAAATATTTAACTTTCCCATACAGTGGGGGTCATTGTGAGTATGTAGTGTTATATTTGCTGCAGTAGATGCTTCCTGACTATGCACGTGTTTTCACTGCTCCTCCTCCATCAGGTAATGGGTTTCTGTCTCCCCTGATGCCTGCTTCAGAGGACTTCACAGTTTGCTGTTTAGTTAACTACTTTTAAGTTTTGTGTAGTCGGACAAGAATGAAGGTTAACAAGTCTCTGTGAAGTAAAATTCAGTAAGGCTCTGAGTGAAAACTGGAAAGTAAGGTTTTTATTTAGGCCTTGGTCTGGGCATCTATGGGAGGCAACCAATCATTGTTTCTCTCTGTGTGTCTCTCCCCCTCCTCCCCACTCTCTCTAAAATCAATGGGAAAATATCCTCTGGTGAAGCTTAACAAACAAACAAACCAAAAAAGAAGACTTGTATTGTTTGGGTACCTTAGGGATTATCTAGAGTGACCAGTTTCCTCAGTTTGAAGATAAGGGAAATAAGTGTATGTGAATTACCATGGTCAGTGTGTAAAAGGAAATTTATATAGGTCTAAACATCGGTTACCACTTCAATTTACTTAAAAAATAAAATTTTGGTCCCATAGAAAGTCTGTTAAAATTTTACCAATATGTCCTTATTCTTGGTTCTATTTTCTACCTTTTTCTTTTCTCCTTTTTCCCCTTTTTTATTAATATATATAATGTTCCAGAACTCCTTGCCGCATTCAAGTAGAGATATCTTATAAAAATGCATTCAAAATTTTTTAAAAACTTATTGAGAAAAGGTGGGCAAAGGGAAAACAAAGGTAGCAAAACTCAGATGTTTTGAACAATAAGGTTAGGATGCCAAATTCAAGTTTTTGGCTTCTGCATACCAAAAAGCTGAAACTTGGCCTCTGTTGGTCTTTCTAGGCAAATAATCCAGCCATTTATTTAAATTTGCTAAGGGGAAGGTTTATGAATAACATTGCTGCATAGTAGTCCATGAATACTTTCTGTTTTATTGTCATATATTTCTAATAATTTAACATTACTTTCAAACTTTGATCATATGTAGAAAATATTTTTCATTTACCCAGTCATGATTATTAGTGTAGGAAAGACTAATCAAATATGAGAAACACAGCCATGCACATACCAGAATTATCTTTTGAAGATTCACCTCAAGTCTTTTGAAGACGATTTCCTGGAGTGTTTAGAGACGGTATTTATATTACAGTATTAGTGTTCAGTTCCGTGAGAAACTTCAGTTACTAATTGACGTTGACTCATTTGTTTTATTTGACAGGGTCCATATCCATTCGAAAATGAAGTTGATGCAGATCTAATCAATGCAGGTAAACTCACTCATTACGAGTTTCCCAGTGTTTTCCTTGCTGTTGATTTAGTTCTATTCCAGATACCAATACGGAGTTGAGCTTGCTTCTTTGCCTTTTCTTAGAGAGCAGTCACTGTATTTTTCACTGAGGTGGGGAGATGAGCTCTCAAAGCCCCATCTTTGCCTGGCTTCTTGTCAGAGAACTGTTATTAGGGAGACTAAGCTCAAGGCAAAATTCTAGGTGGAACTTCATCCAATGGTAGGAGCTCTGGTGGTCTAATCGGTCAGAGTCCTAACTATAACTGAGTGGACTGAGGAGCCTGAAGGGAGGGACAGTTGACAGGGGTGTGGACAGGATTAGGCAAACCAGGAAAGGATGGTAAGATACCATGGTATAGGGAGTTACTATTATTACCCCTAGGCAGGCCTTAGGGGGCAGCTGTCAGAGAGGGTCAGTCACCTAAGAGGAACTATGGCCTTCAGGTATGAAGAAGTAGGACTGCTTAAACAAAATTCTTGTTGAATATACATATCTGTGAAAAACTGCAACAAAGTTTAGGAAACGTAGCCAAGGACATCTCCCAGAAAGAACAAAAATGCAGAGAAGGGAAGGAGCACAGCCTGGTGGAGGGTGAGGTGGGGTCTCCTCCACGGGGTCTCCTGCCTGAACCTCCCCTTGGATAATCCCAGGTGGAAATAGGTCTGCACTCTCATGATGAGAAGAGTGTGGGTGTGGATCCGTAGTGCCAAAAAGAAAAGATCTGGTGTGTGGGGGTTCCTGTCATAGGAGCCACTTCCTGTCCTCTAATCCTCATCAGAGTCAGAGAGCATCCTTCCAAGGTTCAAGGGTGGTGCTGAAGAGTGTGTCTGCCACTAAGTATGACCCAGAAATATAAACAAGAGTTTCTTTGAATTAGGGACTCTGGTCTTGTCACCTCTTTGTTCCCACACTCAGATGCTTTACCTCTTATTGTTAGCTCTTTGTGCAACTAGAACCTAGAGTCCATGGATTAGCAACCTGAAGGAGGAAAGCAGGTTGGAGGCCCTGGCCAGTGTCACTGCCCATGCTGGAGGCACCCTGTTAGGACCAATGATTATCCTTAGCATGGGACTGCCCCTGAGAAGATAATTTTTATGCTATTCTTAACCTGCTTATTTTTACCCTTCTTTTACTCCTATTCACTCCATCCCTGAAAACGTATTATTCTTTTTAAAAAATATATTTTATTGATTTTGTACAGAGAGGAAGGGAGAGAAATAGAGAGTTAGAAACATCAACGAGAGAGAGTCATCGATCAGCTGCCTCTTGCACATCCCCTACTGGGGATAGGCCTGCAACCCAGGTACATGCCCTTGACCGGAATCGAACCTGGGACCCTTCAGTCCCCAAGCCGACGCTCTATCTATCCATTGAGCAAAACCGGTTTCGGTGAAAACATATTATTCTTATTCCACATTCAAACATAATATGAGCCAATATCAGAAGAGAAGGGAAATGAGCTGAGCTTAAAGGCCAGATGCCGAGAAGAATAGATGTTTGATTCTTAGAGAAATTTTGGAAGTAAAACAGCTTCTGGTTGAATAGTTGAATTAATTAACATGACTCAACGCTTGAAAGGCCCACTGTGATAAAGCAATGACATTTAGCCCAGGCTGTAATTTAATTGTGCTGTACCCTTTAGCAGTAGTTCATTGATCTGTGAAAATATTTGCTTCTTGGCTTAATTAATTTATGATGTTAGTGAGTTATTTGCAAAACGAATAACTCCATTTTCTCAATTTCAGGCTTGAGTTCATGGAGCCCACTTTTTCCTTAGAAAAATAGTTACTCTTTTCTAATGACATTGTTGGGTGGTAGGCGTTACTGATTGAGTTTAAAAGTAGCTCCATCCTAACAAAGCTACCAGTTTTATATTTCAACTTCTGAAATGTCATGTATAACTTGAAACTGCTTTGTACAACAGTAATTCGGTGCTTTTGGGAAGTCAAGCTGCAAACCAGTTTAATAATATTCTAACTCTTTCATCAAAGTCCTCTTTGGGATTTATGATGCTTTAGATTTTGGAGCTATCCAAATTAGGGAGGAAAAGCTTTGAGCTAGAGAACCCGTAATATAAATTGTCAGTTTCCTCAACTCCTCAAACTTGAAAATTACCTGAGAGATCAGCCCATTGTTTGTGTTAATTTGAAAGGATTTTTTTTTTTAATACAAGTTCCTTGAAATGAATATAGAATGAAGTGTCTGGGTAAAATCAGTGTCTGAAAATTTAAAATAATAAGAGAGCTATTTCTAAGGATTTTTTCTTCTAAATAATAACCTCATAACTATGTAAAAACAAATCACCACTTCTATAGCACTACATAATTTACAGCGTGCTTTTTTACATGCATGGTATAGTTTGAACCTCAGGTGAAACCTCCTTATACAGATGGGGCAGCTGAGCCCAGAAAGTGAAGTGAGGTACTCAAGATCACATTGCCAGGGACTGGACACACACAGTCTTCTAGTCTTGGCTTCTGGCCTTTACCTCCTATACTCTGAGCCATTTTTTCTCTAAGGTATTGGTTATATTATTAGTTATAGTTCTTTCTTGACCCTATTTGATATTGGACTTGAAAAGCATGGATTCAACTTCAGAATATCTATTTGTTTAGCTATTGGGATGTTTAAAAATGCTGAAAATTAACTTGGCTTCTAAGAAGGTAATTCATAGGAGACCAGAATGTATTGGCAGGGGCCTGACAGCTCCCTGCAGGAGAGGTGCTGTCTGGGCTCTTTAATAAAACCGGGATCATAAATCACACAGGGAGAGCTGAAGCTCCGCACTGACCTCAGCGTCGCCTGTGAAGTGGTAAATAGCGCCCGGCTTGCACGTCTGCCAGTGGAAATTGCCATTGCAAAGTCATTGTGATTTAACAGAGAGACCTGAGGAACAGAGATATTTATGTTCCTCTGCTTTACTGTCCTCCGACACCATCATGCTTGTCCTCCACCTCCCAGGGTTGGTGAGGAACGGAATTCGCTGGACATGAATTTGTGTCAGGATAAGGTTCAGTTGGATTAGGCCTGTCCTGAAACCTGCGGTCCATAGGCTGACTGTATGACCCACCATAACAGTCATGCTTAGTCCTGTAGCAGTGATTTCTTGAGGGGCGACAGCCCTTGTTCGGAGAGAGGAGTGACAGGGCCAACGTTTTATGGAGCCCTTTCTGTGTACCAGACATTAGGCTAAGGACATTGCGTGCATCATCTCATTTTATCTCTCAACTCTTATGTGCTGTCTAAAAGCTCCTACAAACCACACTGGAAAGTATTTTCTAAAGCTTTTCAGCTTTATGGTACTTTGAAAGACGTGAAAATGTTTTCATTGTTTAGCATCCAATGCTTTTGGGGGATAAATATTTCAGTATGATATAGTCTTCCTCTTTTTTTATATCCAAGCTCAAATGGAGAGGGATATAGATGGAGGAGTGAGCTTTTGGGCAAGACTTGAGAAGCTGGGTATAGCTGTGCTGCACAGCGGGGCAGGGTCAGACTCCTCTGGTCCTGTTGTGTCCAGGAGCCTTTCTCTATTCCAATCTTGGAATGGCAACTTTCCTTTCCTTTCTTTTCCTCTGTCCTATTACACTGGGGGAATGCATGGCAGGTCATACAGTTGACTTACCTTTGGCAAAGGGCCTGTGAATACTATTCTGGTTGAGACCAGAAGCTTTTCCTGGGCACCCGAAGCTCCTGAACATACAGGAAATTGATCACAAGAAGAAAGGAGCTTAGACATAAATCAGATGAGAGTATTAGATGAAGATTTTGCACAGTTCTATTATGAGATGTAAGTTTTGAGAGTGGTCCTCTTGAGGATTACATTAAATATGTTGGCAGTACTAGGATGTTATTCCCTAATTTCATCAAAGTCCTAGGGTTTTAATAGAAACTTTCGGGGTCAAGAGAGGAAAGATGAAAGGGAGAGGGAGAGGGAGATTGAGATGGAAAGAGAAGATTCAGCCCTAATGATGTTAAAGAATCTTTCTAGATTACTCATTATTGTTTTGTTTTGTTTTTTAAATATTTGAGATGCATCTGCTGTGGTATTTCCTCCGGAGATGCATTCCTTCATGTATGTTTTACAATCTCTTTGCTCCAGTGACCACGGTAGAACTGGATTTTTTTCCCCTCAGTCCTGTTCACATATAGCACCTGCTGGTGAGGGGAGTGGGGCTGTTGGGGAGCCTGCAAAGGTATTGAATTGTCTGCAGAGGTTGCATTGTCTGTAGAGAACCTCAGGACGATGATAAAATGAAAAAATGGGTTTGCTCTTTATTATCACCATGCAAATGTGAACAGTGCTAGGGACAGAATGCTCCTTTCTGCAGGGCAGACAGTTTCCACAGTGTCCCCCACACTCCTGAATACCACTGCATTTTGCCTTCATTCCTCCGGGAACAGAGAAGGAATAGACCCCTCTCTCCGCCACAGTACCCTTAGAAATCTAATACTCTTTTTTTTTTCCCCCCTCTTTCTCGTGTGTGTGTGTGTGTGTGTGTGTGTGTGTGTGTGTGTGTGTGCGTGCACGCGCACGCATAGGCAAGGAAACAGTGACTGTGCTTCCAGGAGCCTCTTACTTCTCCAGCGATGAGTCATTCGCGATGATTAGAGGGTATGTAATGACAGAGCCGCTCACGTTTCACAGAGGAACGAGCTGAGTCACCGGCTGAGCGTGTCAGCCAGCCTCTGAACATAGACACGTCTCCCCGCCAGAAACCCATCCTGGGCTTGTTCGGCTGCACACAGAGATGTGAAATTATTCACATCGGATGTCAGGAACGGGAACAGCCAAACTGCTGTTATTAAAAGAGTCCCCTGAATGGAATTTCTATCTGTGTGCCAGCTATCACGAAGCAGACATTTTTAAGAAGTTCTTTCTGAGGCCCTTGACATTTTCTGCAAACTGTGTTCACTTCCTAGCTCCTGCTCGCCTTCCAGTCAAACCACATTCTCCCTCACTGAAGGTAGCAAGCTCCCTGTACACGCCTGTATTAATGTGTCTTTTGGAAGCAATATGGGCTGTAATTTTTAAAAAAGAACTTTTAGTGGTTCTTTCTCTACCTCAGCTTGAGCTGATGTATTTGGAAATCAGGTGTTGGGTGGGGGAAAGCAATTGCATTTTGGGAAATACAGAGTTATTTATTTTTAATTGCTGGCAATTTCCAGCGAAGGGACATGAAGCTTGTGAAGTTTGCCTGTTAATTCCTCTTTCTCTTTCTCAGAGGACATGTCAACCTGACCATGCTAGGAGCCATGCAGGTTTCCAAATATGGCGACCTGGCGAACTGGATGATCCCTGTAAGTGGACGTTTTCCTTTGGAATTATGCTTGGGTCAGAGTATATATATCTATATATTGGAACATTAAGGAAAATCCTGTCAGATTGCCATGCGAGTACAAAATAATGATTTTAACAATAAAGAAATATTGTATCATGTTTTCTTATTTGAATCAAATTTTAATTAAGCAAATCCTGAAAAATATTCAGCTTTGCCAGTTTATTATGTAGCTGGGACTAAAAATAGGCAAGATCTGGGCCAAAGTAGAATTTTCCATAAAAAAAGAGGTAGGGAAGATTAAAAAATGGTATAATTATGTTCTATCATAAAACTAAGAAATACAAATGTTTATCAACTAACTCTTTTTAACTAGAAAGAGAACTGAACAAGTTTATAAATTTTATATTAATCCTATTATTTTATTATTCACAGTGAGTGATTAAAGTCCCCTTTTAAAAAAAAAATTGTATTCATTTCAGAGAGGAAGGGAGAGGGAGAGAGAGAGAGAGATCGAAACATCAATGATGAGAGAGAATCACTGATTGGCTGCCTCCTGCACGCCCCCTACTCAGGATTGAGCTTGCACCCGGGCATATGCCCTTGACTAGGGAAAAGCATCCATTATTGTGAACATAGGCAATAGAGTTTTAAATCTATTTTGTTGACCTGTTAATGAGTTTTGAAATAATTTTGCTTCAATCCTGAGTATGGGGCAGAAAGGACTCTCTATTTAAAACATTTTTGCCTTCAGGGAGCTTGGCATCTTCAAAAGTCGGTCCATTTATATTGTGGTTTAGCAGGCAGTGAGGCTGGATGCTCCCACCGTGACCGTGTGCTTTATGTAGGTGTTATTTGTAGAAACGATTTTCCAACGTGTATCCCGATTCTACATACCCTCCTGGGATTCCTGTGAATGATTAAAACACCAGTGTATCTTCCTTTATAAATTTCTTAATACAATCTTGTGCTAATGCGTTTCCAAAGAACTGGACCTAGTCGGTTGGCAATCGGGAACTGGAGTTCTGAAGGAATGCTGAGGAAAATTAAACATAAAAAGCATCCTTGTGTAGGGTCTACTTTTTGATAATGGAAGTTGGCAGTGTCATTTCTTCTTTTCTTCCTGAGAACTTTTATGAGTTTATTTGAGCCAAACTGATGACATGCCGGGAAGCAAGATCTCAAACGCTCCCTGTAGTGCCATTTCTGGTGAGCATTTCTTTTGTTCTTTTAGTAGCTGATTATTATTTCTTGGGTTCTTTGTATGTGATACACACAGTGTGTATATTTAATTCTTTTGGATGCAAGATAGCTTAAGAATCCAAGACCATGGCTTTTAATTTGGAAGAAATCTAATTTGAATTTCAGCTCTACCCCTTACAAATGATACAATCTGGAGTATATAGGATTCAGATTCAGATTTTTTTTTTAATTAGGATAAGTGGGAAAAAAATGAAAAGTGAACACTAAAAGTGTTCCATAAATAATGGCTATTGCTTTCATCTTCTTTCGTGCTCTATTGCTTAATGTTAAAGAAGGAACGTTTGCCTTAAAATACATTGATATAACAGGACTATATTTTACGGTAACTAGTACAACACACTCATCCCAAATTCATGTTTAAGTACCCCAAATTAAACTCTTTGAGGACAGATTTCCTGCTCTGAATTGGTTATGAATGAGGTACAGTTTAGCCTTCTTACTCAGTTTCAGTGAGCAATCTATTTGCCTCAAAGATTTACTAGTATGTTGATTTATAAAATGTAGATATATTTTTATTGCAAGCTATATTTTTATTGCAAGATCTGGCAGTCAAGCATCTGCAAAGTTCAGCTTTATTACATCATTTTTCATTAACTTTTATCTTCTTACTGGGTTTAATAATCTTTTCAGTCGTTGCAAAGCCTTGAGTTTTTCTGCATCATGGCATGCCCATAAATCACTGCATGTCAGATGCATTAAGTTTTAAGGCAAGGGAGTGGTATTGGATGCTCTTTGTCTTATTCTTTAATAGCTTCTTGGTATGCAGCATTGGTCCCGGGTACACAGATTTTTTTAAAATTCTGCCCTGAGCGTCTGAAGAGAGAAAATTGAACAAAACAGCAAGTTGGCTCCTTCCAGTTCCCTGATTATCATGTTGATAGTAAAACCCAGGCAAGTTACAAAAATGTAGAAAGACGTGCAATCGTAGAATCTATATTCAGAACGGCTCTGGCTTTCCTAATATCTATTTTTGAAAACCAGCTGCCATGGGTTATTGACTTGTGAAGGGGAGCAGATGTGTGTGATCAGCTCTGGGAACTGGTTATTGAAAGAATGCAGCTGTGGCCCATGGGACAGGGCTGCTGTGTATGAACCATGCCTCAGCCAAGGGCCTGCTCCTTCTACGTGGAGAGCTGAAATGAGGGATTTGTAAGGCGGAGAAGAATGGGATGCTTTGGTGTTTGTTTTTTCCTTACATTTTTTTAAAAAGGATAAAAATGAATGTCATACTCATGTATGCTACATGTATGAGTGCACAAAATTGATTTGGTCTGTTTTAAAGAAGCTAGCTTTCTTGTCTTTCTTGCTTATATAATTAAAGGGTTTGTGTCCAAGATTCAATCTAGGGGTTTTGTTGTATCAATTGTAGTATAAATATTAAATCTGCAGATATAGATATAGAAATAGAAAGATTGTGGGATAAATGTATATATGGTTTTAACATTATGATTCCTGTTCATTTGGTACTAATTCTGAGGAAACTACTAGAGAATATGTATTTTACAGTATGAAGCTTTTATAATTATTCAGTGGTGCTTTTGCTGTATCTGTGTACTGTAGGGGAAAGTGCACAGAACTTTGGAATTAGGCCTGTGCTTAAATGCTGGTTCTGTCACTTACTGGTGTGTGACACATTATTTCATTTTAGTATACATGTTTATAAAATGATAATACTTAACTCATATGCCTGTTCTGTAGGTTAGTTTGTTTGTTAAACAGATATTTATTAGGCATATATTAAAGGCCATGCACTAGTTGAAAGTGCAGCAGGCAACAAAATGGATTAAATTCTCCACATTTATGAAGCTAATATTCTAGTGGGGATCAGCAAATATGGCCCATGTACCAAATTTAGCTCCATTGCCCGTTTTTATAAATAAAGTTTTATTCAAATACAGCCACTTTACATATTACCTATAGTTGTTTTTGTGCTGCAACAGCAGAGTTGAGTAGTTGCAGTGGAAACCATATGACCTGCAAAACCTAAAATCTTTACCATTGAGCTCTTTTCAGAAAAGTTTGCCAATTTCTGCCATAGATTGTTGATTGGAAACCTTTTATTTTCTAATGTAACTTAGTAATGCTATAAGTTTCTCTGTTAGCGTGTATTAGTGACATCCCACCAATTTTTATATGTTGTGTTTTCTGTTGATTCTCTTCCAAATATTTCTAAATTCCCTTGTGAATTTTTTGTGACCTATCTGTTATTTAGAAGTATGTCATTAAATTTCCAAATATTTGGTGATTTAAAAACACACACAAACCTCTGTGTTTAAGGAGCAGGAAGTGTGCCTTCCTCCTCTGGAGGGTCCCTTAATCCTCTTCCTTTTCTTTCTGGAGACTCTGCTTTGGGCTCTTAGCTGCTATTATTTCTTATCAACATTGTTCCAGCGCTGCTATTTTTGGTCATTTTAAGAGACAGCGTTGACGATGACTTTTCTTTGTGTTAGTGGATGTCTTAAGAGACCAGCTGTTAACAAGCATGTGTGTGATCGTGTTTTCCCTATCCAATATGTTGAACACGCTCCACGTGGGATGGAATCAAAACACAGCTATTTTTATCTCGTGCGGTGCCTTCAACTTTATGCAGTGAGGGAAGCTCTCCCTCTGCGCGGCATTTCAGCTCATTCTTAGATAATCAACTGTCACCGGTCACTTTAATTCACAAACTCAGTCTTCATTCAAGCACTAAAGGGTCCAGTCCAAGGGAGTGAACCTGCCGCAATATGCATTCCAGGGCAGTGCATGTCCTCTCACTTACACTCCCCAGCCTGGTCAGGGCAGGCTGCTCACGTTAGCGGAAGGTTGTATGGAGTTCTTTTTCTCTTCATTCACTGCCTCCCTCAACTCACTGTTTAGCACCCACAAGAGACAGAATTCAGGAGAATGGGAAGGGGAGGACGCAGGACAGGAAAGTTCTCACATGGCTGGACAGTGGTCATGATATAAGCTGGCTCCATGCTCCCTGGTCTTTTCAAATGATGCTAGTCAAGCTAGGAGTTTGAAAGGTGTTGTGTGGACCATGTGCATGTTCTGCATTTTATAGTTTTTTAAGCTCTCAGATTCTAAAGTCTCCACTGCCTAATCAGGTATAATTTATATTCTTTCTTTCTTTTTTTTTAAAAATATATTTTATTGATTTTTTACGGAGAGGAAAGGAGAGAGATAGAGAGCTAGAAATGTCGATGAGAGAGAAACATCGACCAGCTGCCTCTTGCACACCCCCTACCGGGGATGTGCCCGCAACCAACGTACATGCCTCTGACCGGAATCAAACCCGGGACCTTTCAGTCCGCAGACCAACGCTCTACCACTGAGCCAAACCGGTTTCGGCTCAGTTTATATACTTTCATATGTGAAGTATTTGACGTGTTTTAAACATTTTATTTATCCTCCCCCCCTTTTTAAAAAATAACTGAACAAAGATATTGAACCAGCAGGAGAGTTCTTTGGGAGAGTTCGTGTCCTCTACTATAATTTTTAAATAATTAGCTTTCAATGCTTCTTAAATGGAAAATGGTGAAACGAAAGGTAGAAACATGGGAATCATTACAAAGGAGGATGCTGAATTGAGGTTAAGAAAAAGATTCAAATTAAGATCAGAAAGAAACAATAGCAAAGCCATTAGCAAGTCAGCTCACTCTGCCGAGGTTCCCACAAATGTTAATATTTTAGCTAGCAAAGGGGTATGAGACAGTGAAATAGAGTTTTTTGTGTGTGTGAGGAATATCTCAGTTCTCAGCAGTCTTAAAGAGCTTT